AGCAGTGTACTTCGTCGATCTGCCTGTTCTGCTCCCCACTCTGTCTCTGGTGAAGCCTCTCACCACCCCTGAGCCTCTGGCCTGTACCCCAGTTCTGGAACTAGATAATGAGCTCTGAGTAGCTTTTATTTGGGTGAGACAGCTGCATTTTACTACCATAGATGCAAAGGTGTTTGCTGCAATGAATAACAAGTTCAAAACTTTAGAGACTACCTACCCAGCCGACCAAATTCATTTGTAAGCAAATTTCTAGACCCTAGAATCAGACTGAACTATGTTACCTACTTATGCTTAGAGGGCTAGAGTTTTCATATAAATCAGGCTTGACTTGGTATTCAGCCATGGCTCAGAGCCCCAGTACCTGCCCCAAGAAAAAAGGCCAAGTATCTGTTCTTCAGAAGATGGTGTGTAAGTTAAGGGGGGGGGGGGCAAAAAAAAAATAGATTTTGCTTCTCCAAGTGATTAGAATTTTCATTCTTTCATGTGACCTGTGCAGAATCAGCAGGTGACTAGATAGATCATGAGTGAGTGAGAACACCAGTTCCTGACTGCCTGTTCCGTCAGCAGGAGGCCCAAAACTTGGGGTGAATTTTAAAGCTAGAAAGCAGCACTGGCTAATCCATTCGCCCACCTCCTAGTTATCCTCAGAAGACTGATGATGCATGTGGCTTGCAAGTAAAACTACACTTTTTTGCCTCCTGTAATAGGTTCCAACAGACCTCATCACGATGCCGTCTCAAATGGAACACGCTATGGAAACAATGATGTTCACCTTTCACAAATTTGCTGGGGATAAAGGCTACTTAACGAAGGAAGACCTGAAAGTACTCATGGAAAAGGAGTTCCCGGGATTTTTGGAAGTAAGTGTTGAAAGGCTTAGAAAGAACCAGACAGAAAACTCAGTGCTTTAGGCCCTGGTTCCTTGCCCTCACTGCTCCCATCCTTTCCTGGGAAGGCTACTACCAGAAAGCTGTTCTCATCCACTTCTTTTTTTAAAGATTTATTTATTTATGCATACAAGATCTGGGGTACAGGCCAGAGGTGTAAGGGGGTGAGAGGACTCACCAGAGATAGAGTAAGAAGCAGGACAGGCAGATTTACAGAAATGCACTGCTGAGAGGAGCAGTGGGTGGATCCCGAGAGGTCTGCTACAACATGTGGGTCACCTCCCTGGCCGGGAATCAAACTCATGCTGCAGTGGCTGTGGCTATGGCTAACTTCACAGTGCTGAGCTTTAACCTGTTGCATCACCAGGGAGGGCCCCTCATCCACTTTTTTATCAAACATGATTGGGTGCCTATTGCTTGTAAGCTACTACAGAGGAAACAGGAGGTAAAGAAGACACAGCCCCTGCTCTCAAGAGCTTATAATTTGTAGGGAAGCTGAGGCAAAACACAAATTGCCACAGGACAGGGTGTCTGTTAGCAAGATTCCGCCTGGAGTGGCCTGCATCCGCTGAGACAGTTGCAGGAGCGGAGGCCTCTCATCCGGGAGCGTCAAACAGGGAGCGGCTGCCATCAGCTCATAAACCAGGCCGGGAGATCACATATCCTGCTCGCATCCGCTCTGAGCAACTTGAATCTCCTCCAGCCCCTCATATCAAGGCTTTAAATTTATTCTTCTCACTCGAGTCCATAAAGGAATGGTCTGTCGAGTGACAGCCAAGCTTCACTCCAGAAGCCGGTACTTCCCACACTGCAAATGTTCTGAGAACACAGCGCACGCTAGAGTGGGTGCCTCCCTGTGGACGCTGAGAGATGGTGAAGATGGAAGAGGCGCTGCCCTCAGCTCAACGCGGAGCGGCACCTTTGGTCACCGGGCAGCCTGTCGTTTCCCTCTGTGGCCTGCGAGAGATGGCTGCTGCCTTGAAGTGAAACTTGTGCTTGACTAAATAGTAGGTTGAAATCAAGTCCATCGTTTCCTGCCACATCTACAGTCACTTGAAAGAACCGTTACTGGGAGTCCTGTGTTCAGTGTGGAGTAATGCATCAGCCTTACCAGGCTGAGGGAGGCGATGGCAAAGGCTGGGGGTCCTGCCTGCTCAAGAGCATCAGTCAGCCCCTTGCTCTCATTCAGTCAATGCCGGGTTTTGCAGTAAAGGGGTATTTCTCAGTCACTGATACCGGTGGAAGAAGCAGAGATCAAGAGTCTAACCCTTGTCCCAGAACTGAAGTTACCACAGTGCTAACCCAGAATGAGTTAGGAAGTGCTGCTGCTTTGCTTTCTTATGGCCCTGTGATAGAAGGCCAGAGCAGGGTTGGGGCGGCCTGCCTCGGCCCTGCTAACTCTGGGCAGGGTGCTTCAGCTTGCTGCGCCTCGTTGCCCCTCTCTGTCATGAGAGGACCCTACCTGTTTATCTCTCAGGTTCCTTCCACTTTCTGGTATCCTTCCAGGCAAGGACAGAAGGTAAGGACAGAATGTGCCGGTCGTAAGCCGGCCCATCGCAGAACAACGGTGCTTTTAATACCATACACATTAATCATGCCACCGAAAAAGTCAAAAGTCAGGATGGATGTCGCATGAGACCAGACCCTTCCTCACTAAAGGCTTTGTGGCATGAGGAAACCAAAGGTTGTCTGTCATGGAGTGCTGCACCCACAGTGTAATTTATTCCAGGCCTGGGCTCATCATTCCAAACAACACCCACTCGCTACACTGACAGAGTATTTTGTTGCCCAAGTTGACTCCATATGTCATCAAATTTCACTCCATTGACCACAGCCAGGAAGCTGGGGGTGAGGCCAGGATTAACGGAGACTCGCCCAAAGTCAGGGAGCGGCAAAGAACAGGCAACGGTTGACTCCAAGACATTCAGGAAAGGCTGCTGCTTGACCTGGAGGGGTTTCTGAGTGCAGTTTGCAAACACACAGCATGCTGGACACCCAGCACCAGTTCCCTCACGGTGTGCAGTCAGTGGATTCATAAATTCCTTCTCTGAGCATTTTGAAACCTCTAAGGTTTCTCTCTGGTGGATGGAGTGGGCCCTCTTGGAAAAACTACACTTCTCACCACCATCACTCAAAAAAGACTGATGAAGCAAATCACCATGGACGCAAGATTTTAAAAAAAAGGTCAACGCAAGTAGGGTACTAGGTAGTGACTTTATGCCTCCTTTATATATTTCCCTTATTAAATTTGTCCAATGGAAAACATCCAGTGAAGTGTTCGCAAAGGCATAGATTTGCCAGCTCATTAGGAATTTGGTGCAACTTCAGAGACTAGTCCCACCTCCTCAATCCATACCCGATACACATGAAGGCCCACTAAGCTGTGGGCCACGTGGCTAATATGACAAATTCATGCTAGCCCAAAAGTGAGGAGACATGAGGTCCCTCTGGCCACTCTCCACACAGCCTGGAGTATCACTAGCCCCTCTTTAAAATCAGAGGACAAAGATCTGAAACTGACTCCCTAAATAATCTTCAGATCTTTTCTTTTCTTTTCTTTCTTTTTTTTTTTGAGAAATTGACCGTGTACCACTTTAATCACTTTAAGCTACAAAACAGGGGGAGGTGGGCCCTCCTTGGTGGCCTAGGGGTTAAATTTCCTGCATATCACTGTTGTGGCCTGAGTTCATCCCTGGACAGGGAACTGGTCCACAGGACACAGAGACCTCCGCTCTCTCATCCTCTGCTCCCCTCAGCAGTGTGTTTCAGTAGATCTGCCAGTTCTGCTCCCTACTCTGTCTCTGTTGAATCCTCTCACCCCCTGCACCTCTGGCCAACACCCCAGTTCTTCTAACACACACACACACACACACAAACTACAAAGTGGGGGCTTTCAGGTGGTTGTTAGGCAGAACCTCTTGATTTTGAGAACTATGGGAGCAGCTGAACTGGAACCAGAGCAGGTCAGAAGTCAAGCTGAGGGTCAGTCACCAGCACAGTGAACTGAAGCCTGGCGCTAGCTCTCTCACTGGCCTCCTCTTCCCAGAAATAGGACTTTCCTAAGGCTCCCATAGTTAAATGAAAGAATGCCATAAAAATTTCTTTACTTACTTAAAATAAATAAGAACTTAATGAGTTTCTCCTTCAAGTCAAAAAAAAGTACACTTAGGTGACCTCCAAAGATCACTTATAATGTAAAAAAGGATTCAAAGAATTGGAAGATCAGATACATGGTTGTGAGCAGTACAAATCAAAAAAGCTCATCGTTAATGGGTATTTCTTGCTTTTGTCCTTCTTTCTTTTTTTCAGAATCAAAAAGACCCTCTGGCTGTGGACAAAATAATGAAGGACCTGGACCAGTGCCGAGATGGCAGAGTGGGCTTTCAGAGCTTCTTCTCCCTGATTGCTGGGCTCACCATCGCCTGCAATGACTATTTCGTAGTACACATGAAGCAGAAGGGAAAGAAGTAGGCAGCCAGGACCGCCTGAGTCCTGAGGCCATGAGTGTCATTCCCCGAGGGCCTCTTAACGAGTCTGTCCCACAGCTTCCCCTCAATAATGATTTCATGAGCAGACCGGGACCCTTAGAAATGTACACATCAAATCCAACCTCCATTGACTGGAAGAGAAAGAAAAGTTAATGCAAGCCAGATAAGCTGTGGGTTTTTTTATCGCTTGCCTCCTCTTGCCCTCAATAAAAAATTCCTTTTTTAGTTTCTGATTTGTGACAGAATGGTTTTTCCCCTTCCAAAATGTTTGTTCCCTGATTCGTTTCAGAAGAACTTGCATGCCGTGGGCACTAATGCATGACCAGAGCCCCCGCCATAGGCCAGGCAAAGTAGTAAGGCACTCTCCATTCAGCCCTGGAATCTGGCTGTGACTGATTTGCTCTTGTATCACATCTAACTGAAGAACCAAAACTCCAGGGATTAAGAGAAGGCGCATCGGGAGTATGTTCTAGTTTTAGCACTGCTGAGCATCCTCTAGCCCAGTTAAGTCAGTGCCTTTCCGTCTAGCTCTTTGCACATCTGAGCTCTTGGAGTCCCTTTGTCATAGCTAAGTTTGAGCAAACTCTAAGGTAAAGATCAGTGCATAAGAGCATTAATCAAAAAAAGGAAGTCTAGTGTAATGCCTCGGTAGCAACAATATATTAGCATGTATTTAGTTATGAAATGTCAATATTGTTTCACTCTGTGAGAAACGGACACAACTTAACTAATGGATAGCAATGATTTTATTCAAAATGAAGTACCAGTGCTGATGTCTTGATAGATAGCAAAAGGTTTTTCCCAGCTCTTTTCTGTGCCTGTGACAGGTCTCTCAAAATAAATGCATGTCATATACTTATGAATAACAAGATGTTTTATGGAGAGATGACACATGAAATTGTTGCAGTTGAGTAAGTCAAGGGAGATGACCTATATTTATGATTAGACACGTTGACATAACTGGGGAAAAGTTCAGTATAAGTTCAGTATAAGATCATCCTCCCTCGCAAGGAAAACCATGCAAACAAGAACAGGATGATCCAGAAGTAGCTCTGGAAAGAACTTGTTACTACAGAAAATCTGAACCCAAACCCGTCAAAAATAAAATGCCAACCATTTTGTTTTATTTTGGCCAACAAATAAGCAAGGTAAGACAAGTTATAGCTTTGCAGCTCTAGGGTTACATCGGCAAATTTGCAGAGGGATTTATTACAGACGTTACATGGAGGAGGAGAGTAGGCAGGCTAAAGAAACCAACTCCAGGATGACGCCCAAGCCCAGGCCGTTGGACTGGAAAGACAGAACGACAGCTGACCCTGTGGCCCAGTTCACACTGGCAAGTACAGTTGCCCGTTGCCCTTCCACTTAGCACACAGCCATCCAAGTCTCAAGAAAGTACATCTAGTTAGCAGAACCTCAAACTCATCCAAACCCCAACTGCAAGAGTCTGGGAAATAAAGGTTTAATGTTGTCCAGCCTCTGTACACTAGTGGTAGGCACCTGATTCTACCACCGTGATGATGCTTGCTCCAAAGGGAATCTAGTGACCTGCAGGTTAGAGAAACACCGGCTTGAAGAAGAGGAGACCAAAGGACAGCCTCTGGGGGTTATAACTAGCCCACTGCAGGCAAACCACCCCTCTGTCCCCGAGACCATGCATCAGCCCAGATTTACTCCTTTAGTCTACACCACCTGTTCTGGACCGTTCTGTCTGTGGGTGTCATGAAGATGTGTTCAATTTGCAAATGGGCAGGAGAAATCCTAATGTAGGAGACACTAGTATTGAGCTCAAATGTCCACAAGTCCAGAGCAAACTTTTCACTCTAGACTTTGTACACGGGGACCAGGGGTAGGGGAGAGGAAGTGTCAATTCATCTTCAGTGTGGGTATGTGGACTCAGAAACAGTTCTAAAACTGTTTATCCCAGACTGCTTCAGACTCTGGCATTCAGAAATAATGCCAGGCAACCATCTGGGTCACTGTGTGTGTGTGGACTTGGGTGGGGAGGGAGAGAATGATGTACTTTCCTCACTTTAGCTCAAAGCATTTAGTAGGGCTCTAGGACAAGGAAAATAAGAAAGGCGTGTGTGGCTTGAAATCCTGATCCCATGCCAACAAAAGCACATGGATTCCACAGTCTGACCTGCTGAAACAGCCAGCTGGGCTCCGGGGGCTGCAGCCTAACAGCTCCCAGAGGGCAAAGCTGCAGTTATGCCAACAGCCAAGAGGAGCCATCTGGAAAATTCCACTTGGTCTGCTACATTGCTGAGTTGTAAAAGCAGTTCCTGCCTTGCTCCACAGCCAGTGGTGAAAGAAGTCAGAACAGCAATGCGGAAAGTCATTGTCAAGTATGCTGCAGGTACAGAACTTGAAAACACTTAATTTTCTCCATTTGACCCATTTGTTTCCAAGTGCCCTGAACAGGAGCCGATTATCTATGATTGAATACTTCTCTGCCCAGCTCATCTTAGCGGGACACCAAAAGCCAGCCTATAGATCTCAATTTGATCTACTTGAAAGTGATTGTTCAAGCACCTCTCAAGCTCTTACTTCTAGAGTGACAGGTATGAAGAGTGATGCGTTTATCTGGCAACCATGTTCAAGGGCTACTGTAGGTGACACCAAGCACAGACCTGTGTGGAGATAAAGAAGCAGATGCCACAGTGCTGGCTCACTCACTCAAGAGATTACAAACTAGTTGAAAGGTGATAGATGAAGCAGACAAAAAGTTCAGTGACCACACAGCAGAACCTTTTCAAAGGTGAGGTGGGATGGGCACCTTTGGATACCGTTCATAGGAATATAATTTACACAACCTTTGTTGTGTAAAGTGAGGCAAAAGTGAGCAATAGATATCATGATCCTTTAACATGTTTTCTTATAGCCCGTATTTCTATTCCTAGGGAATTAAACATACTTATAAAGATCACCTATACAGGCATGAGATGTTGCACTACTTAGAATAGCTAAAACCTGAGGCAACTGCGTAGTTTGACAACAGGGCACCATTAATAGGCAGCGAGACCCGTGGTCTGTGCTGCCCCTCATAAAGACGATGACTGAAGAGTCTGTGGGAGATGGGGAATATATATAAAGTAAGGCCAGTTGCAAAACTGGCATGTAATAGGATTCCTTTCCTTTTTTTTTAAGATTTATTTATTTATGCATACAGAATTGGGGTATAGGCCAGAGGTGCAGGGGCGATAAGAGGATTCACCAGAAACAGAGTGGGGAGCAGAACAGGCAGATCTACGAGGTACACCACTGCGGGGAGCAGTGGGCGAGACAGGAGAGGTCTGCCGTGCCATGTAGGTCACCTTCAGGGTCGGGGATCAAATGCGGCTGTAGCCAGCTTGCAGTGCTGC